GGCCGAGGAATGTCCGGCATCTCGGCAACCACATCTTTGAGCGCCAATTGCACCCGACCTCGACCACCCACTAACCACAACTTTAAGGCATTTCCGGAGGCAACAACCATCCGCTCTCCAGTGGCCCTCACTTTCACAACACAGCCACAGGGCGTCTCGCCCTTCTCCAACAATTCCGCCACCTTTGTTCGGGCAGACCACGTTATCTCCGGAGCAAACGTCTCCTCGAAATCTCCATCCAGCAAAGCTTCAATACTGCAAACAGCGAACACAACAAAAAATTACAAATCACACATTTTCCGACGTTGTGACAATTGGTATGGACAGCTTGCCTAAGGGCTGCTACGGTGACCGCGTCTTAAGCTGTGTTCGAGCACAGAGGGAACCTGTTAGTATAGCGACGTAGGCGGGTATTACTATTACCCGGAGACGACCTCTAAATCCAGTCGTCGCCGTCCCGTCAGCTCGCCAGACAGGACCTTCCCCAGGGCAGACAAATATCTCTGCACCACCACGGCCGGAGGTGATGAGCACGGCAAAGATCATTCCCAAAACATGATCTCGGGCGAACCAAATGTACGCCCCGGAGACAAGATGACCGAAATTTGAATTATCCACATACGAAATTTTGGCATAGCCCGCCAAATATGCAAGTGGTGTTGGGATGGACCACCATCCGGGTGTGTTCTCGTCATGGCCATGTACACGGCCCACTTCCCGTTTCAATAAACGGTCCAACAATGCTTGACACATTGAGCCAGCCTCCAGACGCTGCTCCGTCGTTACTGGTCCGCCGTCCTTGCGACGCAATGGAAAACGAGGGAAACACTTAGCATCCAGACGAAATTTCGTCTTGGATCCCCTCCACATGCCAGGGGAGGAGGCACCAAACACAAACACCGGGCAATTGAAGACCCGGGAAAGACGACGGAAATATGACTTCAAGCTGTCATAAAAGTCAAAAAAGGATGGAAATTTCCAATCCTTTACACCTGACGCAGTACACAACGACTTGATGTCATTGGTACCAATCCTTATGCACAAGTGTGTGAACTGGAAATGGTCCTTATCCAGTTTCAAGTCCTCATACATCCGGGCTCGCACCGTCTCCGGATCCCACACGTTTCCCGGCGCCCCAATCACGGCACTCACGCCACTCGCACCATACTGGAAGGAGAGGAAACACATTCAAAAACGACGGCATTAATTACTCCACGTCAGGACAACTTACTTGATAGATCTTGTGGGGCATCCGGAAACAATCCACCCACTTTAGGTCTGTGCCCCTGTATACTGGGGGCAACGGTTGCGCACACTTCTTACGCAGAAAGCAGTGGCGGGTGCCCGTCTAGTCTCTTAGTGGCTTGTCAGGTTAGACCCGGACACCTGGGGTCCCCTTCTCCAATACATCAACCACTTTTGGGTTGAGTGGATGATTGTAGTCAAAACCATGTACAGCGGTACCAGGGGTCGGCAAATGCTGACCCCTTAATTTGGACAAGAAGGAACCCTTGATGCACATCCGTTCACCAACGTTCCGGGTATATGAGTCGAAGTCTTCCGGGGAATACTCCCACCACCCCATTCGTCGTTGACCTACCACAAAAGAATGAAACTGACACACCGGTTTCGAAGCAATTGCTGCATTTTACTCACGAAAAGACGAGAACAGCTTGCCAAGTGATTCAATCGCAGGCCTATGTGAGGCACCTGCACCGTTAGCGTCTTCCAGCTCAACTTCAACAACAGAAGGAGCACGCTCGGCTTCATCCCGAGCTTTGACGCGCTCACCCATGACTTCCACCTTTTTTAGCGCGTTTTGCAACGCAGCCATGGTGACGAATTGAGGACCGGGCGAGGTGGTGTCCGGCGCTGGAACTGGGCCTACGTCGAAGTCGTTCAGCCACAGTCGCCGAAGATCGTCCTCCGGTCCAAATGAGATTGACAAATAAGGCGCGCCGGCCAAATCGAAGATCTTGACCCGACCTACAACATCATAGAAAGCGACAAAAATGGCTGATTACTCAAACACTATTCATATTGTACATTTTTACTCACCATCCATAGCATTTTTTGCTTCCGGAATCGGAAACATCAGTCGTCCTCCATTGACGAAAACGGATCGAAGGCGAGCCTCATCAATCGCCAGGCGGGCGGCGAATGCCTCCCGCAAACATTCATCCGACGCTGCCTTCAAGGCCCGGCTTTGACGAATCCGGCCTTCCGTTACAGCCACTTCCTCCGACAGCTGCATAAGCTCGTCGTTCACAGCAGCGGACCGATTGCGCATAGCCCGCAGCTTGTTCTCGGCAGCCTTCATTTGCACGACTTCGGCGGCAGCATCCCGCTCCGCTCCCCGACGTGTGACTTCAGCGCAAGCCGTTGTATCAACGGCTGGCGCAAACATGATCAACCGCCGGAGACGATCAAGATCCATCCGAGATAATGTTGCCACAACGTCCTCTGCTCCAGACGGCAGCACCATGACGGGACCAGCATCAACCCGACGCTGCTTTGATGAAGAAGGGCCAGCCTCGTCAACTGACTCGGCCGCCCCCGATGGTCCAGCTTCACCTGACGGACCAACTGCATTCGATACCGCATCCCCGGTTGGCGGATCTGCTCCATTTTCTGTTGAGGAGTCCACAGCATCCATGAGTTCGGCGTCGTTAACGTCCGCATCTGAGTCCATTTCGTCTGATGAAGTGCAGCTGATCCTTAGCTCCTCTTCAGCTGCAAAAACATACAAACAGGCAAAAAATTGGTATATTTTGTTGAACATAAACATGTGTTTTGTTTCTTACCTTCGCCGCTCGAGTCTGACTCACTGACAGCGCGATGGGAACGCTTCATTTGGCACTTAATTGATCTGTTGACGGATACAAACGGAAACATTAGACACATTATTGGCAAGGAACACAATCGGAGAAATCTCTCCTTCGCGAACACGACATTTGGTCAATCGCACTCCCCATTGGGGTCAATTTTTGCAGCACGGAGATGGGTCAGTTCCTCCAATCTCCAACAAGGGAGGTCATTCCTCCCTTGAAATATTGACACGTACAAACACGTGTTGGGAGAGTGCAACCTTCTCCCCATCTCTAACGATTGGTCATGCACTAATCGCCAGAGTTCGTACACTGCTCTGGCCGGATTTACATAGTTGATTGTTGGGACAACCGCTAAAAAGGCCTACACGTGTTGGGAGAGTGCAACCTTCTCCCCATCTCTAACGATTGGTCATGCACTAATCGCCAGAGTTCGTACACTGCTCTGGCCGGATTTACACAGTTGATTGTTGGGACAACCTCTAAAAAGGCCGGAACCGACGCACGAGTCCTCCTTGCCTGTCTGCGACACCCATTTTGCATCAAGGGTGAGAGCCGAGGTCATTCCTCCGCTCGATCGCCCGCGGAATCGGCCTGACGACCCGAACGAGTGGAGGTCATGCCTCCCTCGTACGCGAAGACGTGTCTCGGTCAATACCGATTTAGGGAAACTTCCCCACACGTGTTGGGAGAGTGCAACCATCTCCCCATCTCTAACCGATTGGTACACACTAATCGCCAGAGTTCGTACACTGCTCTGGATGGATCACTTTTGGGGAAAAACACCTTTTTGATGAAACTTCCCCACACGTGTTGGGAGAGTGCAACCATCTCCCCATCTCTAACCGATTGGTACACACTAATCGCCAGAGTTCGTACACTGCTCTGGATGGATCATTTTTGGGGAAAAACACCTTTTTGACAGCGGGAACTGAGACACTAGCTCTCCTCCCCTTTTTCAACCGAGTTCGCTACTCCGTTGCCCTGTGACAACCGAGTTCGTGAAACTTCCCCACACGTGTTGGGAGAGTGCAACCATCTCCCCATCTCTAACCGATTGGTACACACTAATCGCCAGAGTTCGTACACTGCTCTGGATGGATCACTTTTGGGGAAAAACACCTTTTTGATAGCGGGAACCGAGACACTAGCTCTCCTCCCCTTCTTCAACCGAGTTCGCTACTCCGTTGCCCTGTGACAACCGAGTTCGCTACTCCGTTGCTCAGGGAGCGTGTGAATCGGTTAATACCGATGCTGGGGGACTTGCGTTTGCCGTCCACCACACACGCGACAGGAGTTGACTCCCCTCCTTGTCTACTTTTTGTTTCGAAATTTTTGCGGCGTGTGAATCGGTTAATACCGATGTTGGGGGACTTGCGTTTGCCGTCCACCCCACACGCGACAGGAGTCGACTCCCCTCCGTGTCCGTCACAAATCACTGGAAAACACAAAATTTTTGCGACATCGACGACGTGACGCCTGCCTCCCGAGCGTTTCAGCGTCCCCCGTCCTGATCAAACGGGAGATGCCGAAAACGCCCGTGGAACAGACGTCACAGCTGAGGCATTGGTTCGGAACAAGCCAATCACACGAAAATCCGCGAGAAAGATGACCACCATACTCGCGACGAAAGGATACCATCTACCCTAATGAGTTGATGACATCTACAATCACTCGAAAAGAATCGCGATGACAAGATAACCTCAACAAACTGTTTAATGTCAAATTTGACATCAAAACTTAGTTGTGCACTTCACCACTACACCAAAGACCTATGAGACGACCTCCAATAGGCAAAAAATTGACAATCAGTGACAGCCTGTCACGCCAAATCTCGACACGCTTCTGTGAGCACGTCGAAGCTGACAGGCGACCTTTGTCCCTCTCAGCATGGCACCATTCATTGGCATGGCGCAAGATGACTCATATCGAACAATCTGGATTCGCCTGGAAAACGCGAACACCTTCCAGGCAGATGATTCAGCGAGACACACACGAAAACGCATCTCACTCCTCTGACTAACAATGTCTCGAAATTTCGAGAGCATTCTGGGGAAGCCGCGCATGCGCGCCGCCATCTTTCTCCCCGCGCCGACCAGTCAATTGGTCTTGCCCAGCTCGCCACCCGGCGGCGAACCAGGAAAGACCAAGGGGGGTTTTGTCACGGGTCGACTAGATGTCGCCCGCGCATGCCCCGATTAACTCGGGAAAAATAGGTGCCGCCCGAGTCGGCACAACATCAGAATGTACGAGAGTACGACGTGGCGTAGGAAACGCTGCGTCGTTAAATCTTAAAGGATCAAGATAAACTGTTGGCCTTATATGATGTCTCATCAAAGATTCTCTCTAATTTGTTCATTCAACTAAACCTCCTACAGAAACAAGCTGAAGACCTTGTGCTTTAAATCATTTTTTTTACATATATTTTGTTTTCAATGACAACTTTGTTCTTTGGATTTCAAACTCGTTCATTCAAAGTTAAATGGGCAACCAATTAATTCGTCTTGGAGTTAGGGAGGTTTTTAATTTACTATTTTAAAGAAATTTCAGAAAGGTACTCGGAATAAATTTAAAATCGTGAGATATTTGACTGAGGGAGGTTCGAGTTATCAAAGTTCAACTGTTGGATGTTGACTATACTGAGAAAAGAATCAAAAACATCTTCCTCCCTGGGTGAAACACGACGAGAATCCAAACAAGCAAAACCAGTCAAGATCTATAGGACGAGTATATGAGGGCTCAGCTTGTCGAACCTCTCATTCAAAGTCGAGACACGAAGTCGGGAGATTTATTTTATTTCACAAACCTAAAAGGATTCTCTGCTCTGAAGGCTTCTCCATATTTTTTTTTAAAGATAGAAAATACTTTTCCACTATTATTCAGATTAAAAACGATTCTTTCCAGCCATCGATAAAAATGTCGAAATTATACACAGCCAAAAATATATTCCTCGGGTGAACATGTCCTGATCCCAGTATATGCAAACGAGGGAAAAATTATGATGGCTCAGCTCGTCGAACCTCTCATTCAAAGTCATGCTATGAAACCACTACAAAAAATTTACATATTTCTGAAAATTTTCCAATTCTCAATACCAGGAATTTCATGATGAAAAATGCCACGAATGACTTCTTCATGATTCTGATTTTTTTTTAGCTTCCCTCGGAGCTCCGAATTTTGCCAAAACTGGTGCTTTTCAGCAGCACTGATACCAAGGCGTTTCCTAACTAAGTCTTTCGTCGCTAATTTTTTTATTATTAAAACGCAGAAAAAATAAGAAATCTTTATACAGAGTTTCATCTAAAGAATGCAGACTCTGGACTTGAAGAATTGGGCAGTGAATTTCCATCAGCGCGATAATTTGATCTCTCCAGGCGTGATGAGATACCCGAAAAGCGTTAAAATTCTGATTGTTTTAAGGAAGACAATTTCAAGAACAAAGAAATGTTCTTACCCGATATCCTGATGATTTGAAGTGACAACCACGTTTGGTAAGCGTTGATTTCATTCGCAAACAGATCGATCGATTGAGACCTTTGTGTGGGGAGTCAGGATCCAGCGTCATCGGTGCTGCAACTGCAAAAAAATAGAAAGCAAATACTTTTGAAACCTTGAGTATTCAACGAAAAAGTTTTCTAGAATCCTCTCACGCTGAATATGTAACTTGAAATAAAAAAAAGTAGAATTTCCAAAAAACGTTCCCGTGCAGTGGAAAAAGCAGCATGTTTTCGTGTCTAAAAATCAAAGGTGACATTCAGAACTTGAAAAGCTGTCAAGTTTTATTAGGTGTAGTGAAGGTATTTTTTTGCTTATCTTAGATTTCCAACTTTGTGTAGTATTTTTTTAATTTTCTCCAAAAAAAATGATCTCAACTAATTTTCTGCGGCCTTCATCAGGAAAACCACGGACACGAGAATTTCCTTCCGAAAATATCTCCGAAATCATTCATCATGTCATAGGAAATTAAATTCTCATTTTTCTAGAAGACAGTCAAAATAACCCCGAGAAGGCGTAAATTATAAGTAGCTAATTTTCCCAATAAGTCAATCATGTCATCTTTGGGGTTGTATTTTACTTTATTTTTTAGTTGGAGACCTCTCACAGAAACGTGAATCTGGTGGGTGGGCTATCAAAGACAAAATTATTTGGCAGGAGCATATTTGGGTTGTTGATAATTTTGGCGGATGGCGTTCTAACGGGGTTCCCAATGCTGTTATCATTAGAGAAAATGTGTTCCACGAAATAAATTGGCAGTTGCCGAGGGTGGCGCCTTAACGTGCTTTGACTGTAATGTGAGGATCAATCTGGCTTTTAATCCTTCTAATCCTTTAATCTCTCTCTCTTTTTTTGCATCTCTCTCTCTCACTGTCGGGATTGTGCGCAGACGGGGAAGAAGGCGGAAGACCTCTGGAGGAGTCGTCGTCGGGCGACTCTGGCGTCGCTGGGACGCCGTTGCTGTGGCCCGAAGCAGGAGAGGCGCCTTTGCCCGTCGACGAGACGGCCGTGGACGCCAGTGTGATGCCCAACTGGTCCGCCAATTCTGCCTGGTCAGCGAGGTGCACGTAGTCGAACACGCTGCTTCCAGTCATCTCCACCTGCGGAAACATCGGAATTGATCCATTATTTCATTGAAATCCTTGGTTTCAGGGAAAAAAGACTCGTAACTTTTCTCTCCGTAATAAGAGGCCGCGAGGCACCAATTGATTTTCTTTAAATTAATTTCTTCAGCGACCGATTCTTTTAATCTCAAACATGCATCACTTACTGTATTATACAAGCTTTTCCTCTCCAACATTTTCCAACAGAAGCTAGAATTCAAAATCGTGTGGCCAATGAATTGGAAAGTATGGTTGAAATGGTTCCAGTAGATGTTTCAATTTTATTTTTATTCAAAAGATGATTGCTCGATTTTGGGGCACTTCTTATGACAGAGAAGTTGGCTGTGGATTTTTATCAAAGCTGGGCGTTGTAGAAATCCAGAATAAATTTGTGATTTACACAATTGTCTACTGGTGAATTTTATTATTACAACGCCATTTTTAAAAGGAGGAACCTTACGATTTCATCGTTTGTGATTCTCTGTTTCTTCGGGAAAACCAAAATTGAGAAAACCGAAATTCACGCAATTTAAAAAAGGAAAACCAGAAAAAATTTTAGAAGAAGAAAATAGGAAAAACCTAAAAGAATCTCACTTTATTAGATCTTCAATAAACATATTCTTCTAATTCGTGAAGGGAAAGGAATTTATTTTCATAAAAATCAACTTGAGTATGAAAATATGAGCTATTTATGATAAAAGCTTGCATGTCCTCGGAAGTTTCGAAATCTGTTTCGTATTCACAATGTTACATAATTTCCTCATTTAGAATCAAGGTGTTTGATCACAAAAAATTCGATTGCTGATCGTATTTCTGCTTTTGAAAGAATTGTATGCCTATCACATCGATTTCAGCTTGATTGGTCTAACCTGTGATAATCCGAGGTAGATGGAAACCGTCTCCGAGATGTAAAGGAATCTTCCGTCTGCCGCCAATATGAATGCGAATCCATCATGAGCCTGCAAAATTCCCAAAGTCACAATATGGATGAGTAATTAAAAAAAATGTGACATTTCTCCTTTCCGCAGAGTAAGAAGACAAAAGTTGACCCACGAACAAGCCTCCGTTTAAGCTTGTACGTATGGTAACCCGGATAACAGACGCTTCGGGCAGGAAATGTCCCGGATAACAGACTCAACTTAGAATAAAAAGCTGCCTGACAAAAGACTATCCTTGAAAAATGAAAAGTGCTTTGGAAAATGTGGCTCGCTGCAACATATTTTAAGAAACGCATTTTTGAATGTGTTGAAAATTCTTTTTTCTTGTTTCTATGTAAGTCTTTTTCCAACTTGAATATTTTTGTACACCTGCGAAAAATTCTATAAAACACTTTTTAAAATGTTACCACTTTTGACGCTTTATTAATTTTGTACCAAAAATTGAAGAGATTATAATCCTGATCGGACGAGTTAGAAACGATGATTTGAGTTTGAGGTCTTTATATAAGAATAATATCAAATTATACTCAAATAATGTAGCACACGTTTCAATTTTTGAAGCATAATAAAACAGCAAAACTACTCAGAAAAAAATCTTGACACAATTATAAAGATCCGAAACGATTTCATGCATCATGTGAAACACCACAGGACCACACGAAAAGTAATGGAAATTCAGTGGCTCTCGGAAAAAGTTGCAAAATTTTCCAAATAACATACTCATATAATGGACTTCCCTTTACAAAGGAGTTCATTTGTCAACTGAACCTTCACACAACTACACATTTTTCTTCATTGTGCTAAGTAATATTTTCTGATAGAAAAAAAAAATTCGTCAGCAAAACACTGCTTAAATCCTTTTTTATTTTGGCATCTGAAAACAAGTCTCTCACCTGCATCAAATGATGTCCCTGGTGTTGATCGAAGAATTCCATCGCATAGGACAACGACGCACCACGAGATCTTCCAACTGGAACATATTGAATTAGAAAAAACCAATGTTTAACTTCCGAGACTGTGTTTCTCTCTGACAATAAAAAAATCTTGCACGCAAACAGAAGCATGCGATAAACTTTTTCTCCGGATCCTTTCGCAAACACACACGGAGTCCGATGATCCAATTGCTAAACCCGCAGAGCAAACACTCACAATATCGCAGGGGAAAAAAATGAGAGAGAGAAAAGTCGGAATACCATTTTCAGAAGCAAGGAACACATACGCTGATTTTATGCCAATTGCTGACGAGTCATGCTGATATTTGCCAGCGGGAACAAGAATTGGTACCATGTTCATGAGCGTATATTTATTTTTTCTAGCAGGGATCGCTGTAGAAACCATCAACTTTTTCCCACTGCCTTCGAGATGGCATTTTCAAAAGTTCTCTGACGGATGAAAAGGGCTCTGAATTCAGCATTAAAAAATACAAACTTCGTAAAAATTGAGGAATACTTTATCCAGACACTTTTGAACTGTACCAAATATTTTGGTTCACTTCAAGAGTTATATAATTTATGTATCGATGAATCATCGCAATGAACATGCATTAAAAAATTAAAACTGGTATTCCAAAGTTCACTGAGTTCCAACTTAGTTTCCGCAAACTTCTTTCAAAATCACCCGAACAGTGAGTGAACGTGTACAATTAAATAATACTGTAAAGTACAGCTGCGATGTACCTCAGCTTTTAAAGAAGAGGTCAAGATTTTTTAAAATTTCATTTTGAAACCTGCTGGGAATTGAAGGAATATTGGGGAAGTTTTCAGAAAAATATGAATCAAGCAGAATTATTCTAACAAACAAAATGAACACATTGACAAAAAATTACTTGATTCAGAAAGATTGATTATGTAGGCGAATGAATAATTAAACACAAAAACTAAAACACTTTCATGTAAAAAAAAGAGAAACAGATTCCCTATCATTCTTGATTGACAGTGCGATCAAAACTTAAACCTGCACACAGGTTCAAAATATTTTGAAATATTGAGTTCATTGATGGAATTTCAAATCACTGCTGACACGAAACCAACCTCACCGAGTCAAAAGACTGAAACCTAACTTCACAGCCTAACACAACGCATGACTTGACCCAACCCTGGCTTTGACTTTTAAAGTTTAAAAAAAAATATTCAAGCGACACCTATGTGAAGCAAAGCACATCAGAGAATCGAGGGACATTGACTAATAACGCAGTTCGAATAATAGCTGATGCGATTTTTTTTTCGGGTGATTCAGAGGACTTCTGAAAGTACCCTCATATCGTTTTTTTTTTCCTTCATTCCCTGGGTCCAGGGGAACATAACTCGATCCCAGGAGATCGTCCGAGTCCGAGAGCTGATCCAATTTCGCAGCCCGCAACCCAAGAGGCCCAGCTGTCGTCTCGTCGACTAACACCCATTGTCCACATTTCTTTTTCTTCCCCGGCTGTTTTCGCACTCGGACACTGGCCAAACGATGGCATTCGTATGCAAATTCTCACCCCTATCGCCCAAATTTACGCGAGGGAAAGCGTTCGAGGGTTGAGGCTTGGAATTACTACTGTACTGTACTGTGTACACGGAGAAATTTCCAGGGTTCTTCTGGGCACGGAAAATGTTTCCAGGAAAATCCGATTGAGGTTCTCAAATTAAAGCTCACTGGCACACACTTGAACAGATTCACTTCGTTTTGCTGACATATATTCCAATTATTGGGCACGATTTTTTGAAAATTCAAGACGCAAATTTCCCGTCATTCGTTAGCAACGTTTTTGAGCGCTCATCGCATTATTTTAATTGTATTTCGAATATCCACGTTTTCGTACAGAATTCTGCAGATTTTAAAAATTGTGCTTCAAATCTGAACAGTTTTCCCAAAGAAAGACAAATAATTTTCAATGTTGAGTCAATTGACATAATCAGAAAAATTTTAAACCACTGCCAAGACTTTTTATACGGAAAAATGAAATAATTCTCCAGAGTTTTCTACTATGCAAAGCTCATGACTGGCTGATGGGATTTTACTGCCTCGAACGAGTGAAGAAATACTACGGAAGTATTTTATATTCATATCCTATTTTCCATCGCAGTAAAATTCTACCCTTGAAAAAGGCGCGAATATCACAAAAATTGCCCAGCGAAATTTCTTTCATCCAACTGCATCATTTATATTTGGATGAATAACGTTTCCTATGATGAAATTTTTAGAGCAAAAAATTTCCTCTTTCGCCAAACTGACATTTTTTTTTTAATTATCTATCTTATTGAGGACTTAATGCTTCAAAGATGCATTTAACGCGATTTCAGAGGTACGGGAAATCAAAGCTCAAATAATAGAAATTCAATAAATGAAGTTCGAATATGGATTGTACAAGCTTTTTCTGGAAAAAGTCGAAGTTGGTTATTTTGTAAGAAAATAAGGATTTGATTGTACAAGTAAAAAAAAATCAAAAGCACCATTACAGGAAATTGCTGAATGCAGAAACTTCTATGAACAGGAACCGGGTTGGTGGAAATTAAAAAATGAGAACGAACTACATGAGAACGAAACATATTCTTTGGCAAACAAAAAAATATCAGCCCTGTTTGACAATTTTTTTGAATTTTTTTCATAATTCACCCTGGCAGAGTTTTGCTCTTCACTCAAAAGATGAGGCGCCCTTTTTTTGTTGTAGCCCAGCTTTCCCCTCAGAATTTTTGAAATCCACTTGGCATTCTTTCTATAAGGGTTGCCTCCAGATCTTCCAAGGCAATTCCGCCATTTTCATCAACAGCCGCCTTCACAGCCGCCAAAGTGCCGGCCAATGTGGCGGCTGTTGATGAAAACTGTATCATATTTTTTTTTATAAATACAGTACAGCAGTGTTCCTCAACCTTTTTAAGCCTGCAGACCAGCAATTTCTCATAAAATCTTTTGCAAACCAGAAGATTTCCAAAAAATAAAAATGCTGGCCAGACTGGCAAATTTTCATGAAATTTTTGAAGGATGAAACATTTTTTGCTTGGAAGACTTGTTGGTAGGTATCCAAAAATGTATGTACCTGGAGCTTTGAGTATGTGCAAGGAGCTGCCGTGGAGGTGGTCGTTGTTGTTGTTATTGTTGTTGTTGTTGCCGCCCCCGGGGCCAGCGGACGACGCGTTTTCTCTGGCCCACGGAGGGTCGCCCGTCAGCGAGAAGTCCCTGAGTTTGAGGTAGGAGATGGTGAGGCGGANATGTACCTCAGCTTTTAAAGAAGAGGTCAAGATTTTTTAAAATTTCATTTTGAAACCTGCTGGGAATTGAAGGAATATTGGGGAAGTTTTCAGAAAAATATGAATCAAGCAGAATTATTCTAACAAACAAAATGAACACATTGACAAAAAATTACTTGATTCAGAAAGATTGATTATGTAGGCGAATGAATAATTAAACACAAAAACTAAAACACTTTCATGTAAAAAAAAGAGAAACAGATTCCCTATCATTCTTGATTGACAGTGCGATCAAAACTTAAACCTGCACACAGGTTCAAAATATTTTGAAATATTGAGTTCATTGATGGAATTTCAAATCACTGCTGACACGAAACCAACCTCACCGAGTCAAAAGACTGAAACCTAACTTCACAGCCTAACACAACGCATGACTTGACCCAACCCTGGCTTTGACTTTTAAAGTTTAAAAAAAAATATTCAAGCGACACCTATGTGAAGCAAAGCACATCAGAGAATCGAGGGACATTGACTAATAACGCAGTTCGAATAATAGCTGATGCGATTTTTTTTTCGGGTGATTCAGAGGACTTCTGAAAGTACCCTCATATCGTTTTTTTTTTCCTTCATTCCCTGGGTCCAGGGGAACATAACTCGATCCCAGGAGATCGTCCGAGTCCGAGAGCTGATCCAATTTCGCAGCCCGCAACCCAAGAGGCCCAGCTGTCGTCTCGTCGACTAACACCCATTGTCCACATTTCTTTTTCTTCCCCGGCTGTTTTCGCACTCGGACACTGGCCAAACGATGGCATTCGTATGCAAATTCTCACCCCTATCGCCCAAATTTACGCGAGGGAAAGCGTTCGAGGGTTGAGGCTTGGAATTACTACTGTACTGTACTGTGTACACGGAGAAATTTCCAGGGTTCTTCTGGGCACGGAAAATGTTTCCAGGAAAATCCGATTGAGGTTCTCAAATTAAAGCTCACTGGCACACACTTGAACAGATTCACTTCGTTTTGCTGACATATATTCCAATTATTGGGCACGATTTTTTGAAAATTCAAGACGCAAATTTCCCGTCATTCGTTAGCAACGTTTTTGAGCGCTCATCGCATTATTTTAATTGTATTTCGAATATCCACGTTTTCGTACAGAATTCTGCAGATTTTAAAAATTGTGCTTCAAATCTGAACAGTTTTCCCAAAGAAAGACAAATAATTTTCAATGTTGAGTCAATTGACATAATAAGAAAAAATTTAAACCACGTCTGCCCAGAATTTTTACACGGAAAAATAAAATAATTCTCGAGAGTTTTCTGCTATGCAAAGTTCATGACTGGCTGATGGGATTTTACTGCCTCGAACGAGTGAAGAAATACTACGGAAGTATTTTATATTCATATATCCTATTTTCCATCACAGTAAAATTCTACCCTTGAAAAAGGCGCGAATATCACAAAAATTGCCCAGCAAAATTGCTTTCATCTAACTGCATCATTTATATTTGGATAAATAACGTTTCCTATGATGAAATTTTTAAAGCCGAAAATTTCCCTCTTCCACCAAACTGAAAAAAAAAAAATTATCTCTCTTATTGAGAACTTAATGCTTCAAAGATACATTTAACACGATTTTAGAGGGACGGGAAATCGAAGCTCAAATAATAGAAATTCAATAAATGAACTTCGAATACAAGATTTTTCTGAAAAAAGTCGGAGTTTCAAAGAATTGGTTAATTTGTAAGAAAATAAGGATTTGATTGTACAAGTAAAAAAAATCAAACGCACCATTACAGGAAATTGCTGAATGCAGAAACTTCTATGAAGAGGAACCGGGTTGGTGGAAATTAAAAAATAAGAACGAACTACATAATACATTGGTTTTTTTTAGAAATACAGTACAGCAGTGTTCCCCAACCTTTTTAAGCCTGCAGACCATCAAATTCTCATAAAATCTTTTGCAAGCCAGAAAATTAAAAAAAATGCTGCTGACTGGCAAATTTTCATTAAATTTTTGAAGGATGAAAAATGTTTTGCTTGGAAGACTTTATGGTAGGCATTCAAAAACTGAAATTTGCAAGCCTGCAAAAATATCCCGGCTATGCTGCCCAATGGAAATCTACCTGCCACAGCCCCAAGGGTTAAATACCCATAAAAAGCTTATTTCTCTACATTCATTCTGATGTGATGGAATGTGTTTCGAGAAATGTGGGGTGCAGAGGGTAGGGGGATTGGATGTGAGAACATTGTTTGAACCTTGTGAATGCTGAAAAGTGGAAAATAAAGTTTGTTTATAAATCGATCACTCAAGGACAAATGATAATTGAGCTAAATACCAAGTACACACTTCAGCTGTTTCTATGTTTGGATTGTAAAAAAAACTTCCAATGGAAGCTGGGGTGTGCCTCTGTTATGAGGAGATGATTTTTCACCTACTTTTGCAGGTCATACATGAAAGCGTGCACCATAAACAAAACGGCGCATGGAAATCAAGTAAATACACTACGGTATATACAAAAAAATCATCTACATTAGTATAGTGCTCCTCACACCTGGAGCAATTGTGCAAAAAAAAACAATGCTTCCTAATGTACAGTACCTGGAGCTTTGAGTATGTGCAAGGAGCTGCCGTGGAGGTGGTCATTGTTGTTGTTATTGTTGTTGTTGTTGCCGCCCCCGGGGCCAGCGGACGACGCGTTTTCTCTGGCCCACGGAGGGTCGCCCGTCAGCGAGAAGTCCCTGAGTTTGAGGTAGGAGATGGTGAGGCGGATGATGGACGCCTTGTCCAGCTGCGACGTGATAGCGCCCGGCAGCGGCAGCATCTTGGCCAGCTCGTAGAACTCTCTGTTTTCCTTCCCACGTCTACTTCGTGCTGCATCCCTGCTCTTCTCCTTCCTCAGCTCCAATATACTGCAAAAAAAAATATTGAAAAAAATAAATAAATAGATGGTAAAAAAAAAGAAGAGATGCCAAGGATACACCAGGCTTCATCTCATCAAGGACCACATAAAACAGTATAATCAGAAAACCGCGACTTCATCTCTCTGACTCTTACTAAAAAAAAAAAAAAAAAAAAAGACCAAGAAAAGGACGATAAAAAAGGGGGACGCCAGTCGATTTCTTTCTCCCTTACTGCTGGTTTTTTTTTCGAACCCTCGCTCATCGAAGACTTGCCTGCTGATTGTAGCTCTAAAAAAAAATCCGGGTCATGATGCCAACGAGCGCGTGAAAGTGAGCTGTGCAAATTTTCTTGAATATAAAAATCTTGAGATGGTCTATACTCCATCTATGCGAACCGATAAAAGCAAAACCTTCGTGTGCCTTTTTCTTCGCGGAATTCAGGCATTGGCTTCAGCACGAGCTTAAAAAAATTTTAAATCGGGGAGCAACTATTTCGAATATCATCGTAGTCGAGTCTTTGGTCTGAGTGTTGGAAGCATTAGTTGAAACCACGTTTTACACTACCACACTTGATAAAAAGAGAATCGAAAAGCCTTACATGGATAATTCGAAAGAAATACTTGAAATTTAAAAAAAGTGCTAATCGTTGAACAAACGAAGAAACAGCTTATGTATCTACGTAGATTACAGCAGCGCCATCTTTGGTTTACAGAATTTTTTACACCACAAACGAATTTTCTGTACAATATTTTATTTCATAGAAGAAAGTAATTTCTTAGAAAGTCCCACAATGTTCCTAACATACTATTTTGGGTACGAAAATCGTAGATTTAGCTGAAATAGGGGGAAAATATGATTTATCCTACCTTTTTCTCACCCTCTTTTGTGCATTAATCTTCATTCACACAAGAATAAGTATAGCACAGTACTCCCTCCATGTAGTAAAGAAAAAATCAAGTTATGACCTAGTTCCCTATAATTCTGGGACTTCGAACGGCATTTTTCGATCAGAAGGCTCTGTTTTCTAACAGTTGTACACATGATAAACAATAAAATCGGAAACACTTCAAATTTTCAAAGTATTGAGCTGCCAACATTTCCAATAAAGTCGAGCTGATTTAAAATGCACATTCTTCTAAGATTAAGCACGTTTTTCGGTTCAGGCACATTTTACGACCAGTACTCATAATTCACTGAATAATTATTCAGTATTAAAAGGGTTGGTATAAGTTCTTTTTTACGTAGAAATTGATATTTCCAATTTCCAAGATTATCCTGGTTCCGCGCGGGTTCACACAAATATTTTGTAGACAGCGAAGAGTAAATTTCAATGTTTTAGAGATTCACATTACTTCAATATTACTATTAATTCAAAAAGCCTTCCGATTTCTTATTTCGCCGGGATAAACGAGAAGAAAGGAATGATAAGAAATTAATCTTCGTATCGTTGCATAATGAGTTGGTGATACAAAGTTTTCTGAGTAATTTTTAGGTTTAGAAATATTTTAGAAATAAAAGGTCCTGGACTTTTGACAACGATCAGTTTCAAGAGAAAAATAATGGATGATCAAGGAAATTTTCCGTGAGGTCGAAAAAATTGAGGTTCTATAGTCCATACAACCAGTTTGGAGTGTCCACAAGAACTTGATGATTTTCCTCCCAAAAGAGGGGGAAAAATTGCACTGACAATAAGTTCTCTAAACAAGAGGGCTGAAAAAAAAAAACCATGAAAATAAGAGTTCCCTCGTCTGTCCATCTGAAGTGGAATCCACTCAGGCATCGCATTCGTATTCATGAGCATTTCGGGAGATTTACTTCTCGAATCCCGTTTCCCCTGTACAATTATATTTCCCCTCACTGTCTACAGTATTTTCCTTTTTTCCTTTTTCAGCACAGGAACTCGTGTATGTCGCATATTCGCGTCCGGTTCCGGAATTCCCCAGATGGGAATAACCGGGTTCTCTGGAGGACCGGAGCAAAATTTCACATTTTCGTTCAGTAAGTTTGGTCAAATCTGTCCAACTGCTGGGCAAGAATGTTGTTATTCAGGAAATCAATGAGTCAATGTGCATGTGTCAAATGTACGCAAGTCAAATGAGCGTCGGAAAATATGAGCTAAATAAAATGCTGCGGAAAGCTGAAATTGAACATAATGAACCGTGAGTTATAATCGCTTGACCTTCACATTTACTTTATCATCAGGAGAATTAAACTTTGCAAAACTAAGTTATGTATTTATTTTACTGCAGAAAAACCGCATGATTTCAACATGATCTGATTTGTAGACTTTCTTTTCGTGGAGCAAAAACATCAAATTTATATATCTTCCACACAAGAAATGCAGCAAATTCACGAGTTCCTTTCAAAATAAATGATGAAATTAGCAAAAGTCAAATATCGGGAAACTAGTTTCATTTTCGCAGACACACTCGAATTTCCTGCAATTCTGGATCGAAAATTAGGATTTAGACGCGAGGAAATTACACTTTTCTAAAATAGCACTTTACTTTAAAGTCTTGTTGAACAAAAAGTTCTTCAAAATAAACTAATGTGCGGTAAGAGGGCACAAATGAACACCATAACATGTTATCCTTGAAAAAAATGCATACGTTCTTGCTTCACGTCCAAAACTAGTTATCCTCTACTTCAACGAAACAAGTAATTCTTAATGAAGGGTTTCCAAAAATACAAAACAGCACGTACTTCCATCAAAAGAAATGTTCCCATTGGAATAAATACATTAGTGGTAAAATAAACCTTAAAAAAGACAAAGGAAGTATTTAAATTGGCAAAGATTCGCGAAGTTGGCAAGCATTCATCTTGAAATTGTTCCGGAGTCATGAAAAATACAATGATTTCTACAAATTGAACATATTTCGTACTCTATGATGGTCCAAAAATACTTGCAGAACTCAACACTTGAATTGTTACCAGGCTTCATTCAGACATTTTTGCCAACTTTGCTTAGCGCGTTTCAACTTTTTCAATGCAAAATACCTGAGATAAATTTTTGCAACATTGCTCACCATATGTTGATGAAACGAAGGGGTTCGAAAAATTTTGCACTCTGTAGTGTACATTAGCTACGATGGAAAATTTGAAGAACATCTCGTAAAAGATGCTATTCCAATCTTTTTTAATCAGCAAGTTCATGTCTTCAGTCTTCAGTCTTGTTGGAAATAATCCCCAGAAAAAAGTTGCCAATATTCTTTAGCTATAATAGACCCACTGCTAATTTCTAAAATGTAAAAACAATTTTGAAGCGTATGAGGAAGCTGGATATTCGAAATCAATAAGATCGGCTTTCAGAGAAAGGCTTGAAAATGGAACTTTGCAGGGTATGATAGCCAATAATCGAACCAGATTGACTTCAATCCGAGCACCTTTTACAATTTTCAATTCGATCACAAATATTTGAGTGAATAACAAGCTTGCTAGAAGCTGAAGTCGAACATAGTAAAAGGTTGATACATCTTGGGCTTTCTTTTTCAGAAAAATCGTCGCACATTTTCTTCATTCTACGAGCTTTTTTTGAATAACTTTCGGACGCATAAACCATGAAGATACTCGGAAATTGAAATTTTTAGTCCAAATCGGCAAAAAATCACCAGTGGCATAAAAAAACAGAAACAAGGGCTATTGTGCATGATAGCCTCAAAGAAATGAGTTTGGCTCTGAAAACGGCTCCGGGAGGATCAAAAATCATCCGTTGGCAGCTTTTTCAACTTCATAATACACTGAGTAGATTATAAGTCTTTCAAAATGTCAGTTTATCTAGGGGGACGCCAGTCGATTTCTTTCTCCCTTTCTGCTGGTTTTTTTTTTCGAACCCTCGCTCATCGAAGACTTGCCTGATTGTAGCTCTAAAAAAAATCCGGGTCATGATGCCAACGAGCGCGTGAAAGTGAGCTGTGCAAATTTTCTTGAATATAAAAATCTTGAGATGGTCTATACTCCATCTACGCGAACCGATAAAAGCAAAACCTTCGTGTGCCTTTTTCTTAGCGGAATTCAGGCATTGGCTTCAGCACGAGCTTAAAAAAATTTTAAATCGGGGATCAACTATTTCGAATATCATCGTAGTCGAGTCTTTGGTCTGAGTGTTGGAAGAATTAGGAGAAACCACGTTTTAGAGTACCGCACTTGGTAAAAAAAAGAATCGAAAAGCCTTACATGGATAATTCGAAAAAAAAATACTTGAAATTGAAAAAAGTGCTAATCGTTGAACAAGCGAAGAAACAGCTCATGTATGTACGTAGATTACAGTAGCGCCATCTTTGGTTTACAGAATCTTTTAGACCAAAACAAAGTTTCTGTACAATCCTTTATTTCATAGAAGAAAGTAATTTCTTAGAAAGTCCCACAATGTTCCTAACATACTATTTTGGGTACGAAGATCGTAGATTTAGCTGAAATAGGGGGAAAATATGATTTATCCTACCTTTTTCTCACCCTCTTTTGTGCATTAATCTTCATTCACACAAGAATAAGTATAGCACAGTACTCCCTCCAGCAAAAAAAAAAATCAATTCATGACCTAGTTCCCTATAATTCTGGGACTTCGAACGGCAATTTTCGATGAGAAGCCTCTGTTTTCAAACAGTTTTACACATGGTAAAAAAAAAATCGGAAACACTTCAAAACTTACACAAAAATCTCACGAAATTTTCAAGGTATTAAGCTACCAACATTTCCAATAAAGTCGAGCTGATTTAAAATGCACATTCTTCTAAGATAAAGTACGTTTTTTCGGTTCAGGCACATTTTACGACCAGTACTCATAATTTACTGAATAATTATTCAGTATTAAAAGGGTTGGTATAAGTTCATTTTTACGTAGAAATTTATATTTCCAATTTCGAAGATTATCCTGTTTTACACAAATATTTTGTCGACAGCAAAGAGTAAATTGCAATGTTTTAGAGATTCACATTACTTTAATATTACTATAAATTCAAAAAGCCTTCCGATTTCTTATTTCGCCGGGATACACGAAAAGAATGGAACGATAAGAAATAAATATTCGTATCGTTGCAAGAGAAGTTGATTATACCTAGTTTTCTGATTGGTTTTCCTCAAAAAGATTACTTCACAGATATAGAAACATTTTAGGAATAAAAGGTGCTGGACTTTTGACAATAATCCCTTCCAAAAGAAAAATAACGGATCATCAAGTAAATTTTCCGTGAGGTCGAAAAAATTGAGGTTCTATAGTCCATACAACCAGTTTGGAGTGTCCACAAGAACTTGATGATTTTCCTCCCAAAAGAGGGGAAAAAATTGCGCTGACAATAAGTTCTCTAAACAAGAGGGCTGGAAAAAAAAACCATGAAAATAAGAGTTCCCTCGTCTGTCCATCTGAAGTGGAATCCACTCAAGCATCGCATTCGTATTCATGAGCATTTCGGGAGATTTACTTCTCGAATCCCGTTTCCCCTGTACAATTATATTTCCCCTCACTGTTTACAGTATTTTCCTTTTTTTCCTTTTTCAGCACAGGAACTCGTGTATGTCGCATATTCGCGTCCGGTTCCGGAATTCCCCAGATGGGAATAACCGGGTTCTCTGGAGGACCAGAACAAAATTTCACATTTTCGTTCAGTAAGTTTGGTCAAATCTGTCCAAGTGTGCAAAGAACGTTCTTATTCAGGAAATCAATGAGTCAATGTGCATGTGTCAAATGAACGCAAGTCAAATGAGCGTCGGCAAATATGAGCTAAATAAAATGCTGCGGAAAGCTGAAATTGAACATAATACACCGTGAGTTATAATCGCCTCGACCTTCACATTTACTTTATCATCACGAGAATTAAACTTTGCAAAATTAAGTTATGTATTTCTTTTACTGCAGAAAAACCGCATGACTTCAACATGATCTGATTTATAGACCATATTTTCGTGGCGCAAAAACATCATGGATATAACGACACATTTACATTTCTTCCACACAAGAAATGCAGCAAATTCACAAGTCCTTTTCAAAATAAATGATGAAATTAGCAAAAGTCAAATACCGGGAAACTAGTTTCATTTTCGCAGACACACTCGAATTTCCTGCAATTCTGGATCGAAAATTAGGATTTAGACGCGAGGTAATTACACTTTTCTCAAATAGCACTTATTTACTAAAAGACTTGTTGAACAAAAAGTTCTTCAAAATAAACTAATGTGCGGTAAGAGGGCACAAATGAACACCATAACATGTTATCCTTGAAAAAAAAAAAATGCATACGTTCTTGCTTCACGTCCGAAACTCATCGAAACAAGTAATTCTTAATGAAGGTTTCCAAAAATACAAAACAGCACGTAATTCCATCAGAAGAAATGTTTCCATTGGAATAAATACAGTAGTGGTAAAAGAAACCTTAGAAAAGACAAAGGAAGTATTTAAATTGGCAAAGATTCGCGAAGTTGGCAAGCATTCGTCTTGAAAAATTTTCGGAGTCATGAAAAATACAATGATTTCTACAAATTGAAGATATTTCGTACTCTATTATGGCCAAAAATACTTGCAGAACTCAACACTTGAATTGTTACCAGGCTTCATTCAGACATTTTTGCCAACTTTGCTTAGCGCGTTTCAACTTTTTCAATGCAAAATACCTGAGATAAATTTTTGCGACATTGCTCACCATATGTTGATGAAACGAAGGGGTTCGAAAAATTTTGCACTCTGTAGTGTACATTAGCTATGATGTTGAAAAAATTTGAAGAACATCTCGTGATAGATGCTATTCCAATCTTTTTTAATCAGCAAGTTCATGTCTTCAGTCTTCAGTCTTGTTGAAAACGACCCCCAGAAAAAGTTGCCAATATTCTACAGCTATAATAGACCCACTGCTAATTTCTAAAATGTAAAAACAATTTTGAAGCGTATGAGGAAGCTGGTTATTCGAAATCAATACGATCGGCTTTTCAGAGAAAGACTTGAAAATGGAACTTTTCAGGGCATGATAACCAATAATCGAACCATACTGACTTCAATCCGAGCACCCTTTACAATTTTCAATTCGATCACAAATGTTTGAGTGAATAACAAGCTTGCTAGAAGCTGAAGTCGAACATAGTGAAAGGTTGATATACCTTGGGTTTTCTTTTTCAGAAAAATCGTCGCAAATTTTCTTCATTCTACGAGCTTTTTTTCAATAAATTTCGGACGCATAAACCATGAAGATACTCGGAAATTGAAATTTTTAGTCCAAATCGGCAAAAAATCACCAGTGGCATAAAAAAACAGAAACAAGGGCTATTGTGCATGATAGCCTCAAAGAAATGAGTTTGGCTCTGAAAACGGCTCCGGGAGGATCAAAAATCATCCGTTGGCAGCTTTTTCAACTTCATAATACACTGAGTAGATTATAAGTCTTTCAAAATGTCAGTTTATCAAAGAAAAATTTCCGCATCCCGTGCGAAATGCTCACGTTAAACCATCAGTAATACAGTAAATATATGGGAAAAGATTAATCCATGCTAGGTTCTACACAGAGTTGCACATGAGTTTGCAAATTCCGAAGTTTTTATTCATAAAACTTACAAATTGTGTCGAAAGTCCTCATGCACAACGAAAACATTATTGAGAAAGTGTGTTCATATTGACTCAGAATACGGCCCTTTTTAAGAAAAATCTCGGCGGGATAATTTGACCATAGGCATTTTTTCCTCAGTATAGAAAATAAAATTTAAAAACCAATGCTTCCGTATTTTCTCCGTATAACAGCAGGAAAGAACTCGAGGAAATACTTTCCAAGTTTTTGAATAAACGGCAGAAGTTGTGCCATCTCAACACGTGAGTTTCAGGGATCTATTGCAGTATCTGAAGGCTGCTAGTAATTTTATTGCTCCAAATTTCCTATTCTCATCGTTTTTTAGATTATTCCGAAAGTGAACGTAATTTTAATCTGTATAGAGTTGACAAACTGCTACCACAGAGATTTTATCATCTTTGGACCTCGGAAAACTATTGAAGAAATCAGAGCAGAAACTCAAGAGCAAAGAACCAAAAATTTCTTTGTATGCTTCCTGAAACCCTTGAGAATAATCCATTTCCGGAAATTTTAATTTTTTAAATAGAAAATACAATCTTTTTTTGTGGTCATCATCAATGATACACACAAAACCGGTTCAGCAGTCCAGTGTTGAAAGGACCGTTCTGACAAAAGGATGAATCCCAGAAATTCCAAGTTGAAACGAAGTTTGTCTTTTTTTCCGGGAAAATGCGGACATACACAGAATCCCTGCAGATGGGGCCAAGTGGCCTCATATACGATCCCACAGAAACCCCCGCAACCCAGGTTGCACACAGCAAAGCAAAACCGCCTCCCTGCTCTCGGCCACCGCGATCAGTCAACGACGACAAACCCCGGGAGCAGCGCGAAAAAATGCATAAAAATGTTAACTAGCTGTCTGTCTGGTCCAAAGCAATCCAGGGAAAAGAAACAAAATAAAAATATGCATAAAAAAAAAGAGAGCAACCCTCTTCAAAATCCCCGGGTTCTTTCTTCGTCCCCCGTTGGGAATCGCGACGAATTATGCGGAAGCCCGTCGACACCCGCTGGAAAAGTGGCGTCCACGGGAAAAAAAAGCGAGCCGCCGTTTTTTTCTATCTCTTCCTGTGGGTTCACGAGACTTTCAATCAACTTGATCTAAATCGTTATAGTTTCGTTTTTGTATATTTTATGAAAATATTATCATTGTGTAGCAGATTGAGGGGCAGAAAAGTCAGCAGGACGCTTACCGCTTTGCGGCTCATTAACACGTTCCAAAAATCCCGTCTCACGTGGAGTTCAATATATAAAGCAGGGAAAAATTTCTCGCTTTCAAAGAAATTGTTTACCGAGACACGTTTCTGAATTCCAAGGAAAAATATATTCTGAGAATACAAGAGGATATAACGGGAAGAAACGTTGCCAAAGCAACCATTTTATGGAAGATCTTGAAAGATTTCCTATGATTGACACGGAAACATGAATTTACAGAAGAAAAAAAATCAGGTAGTTGATCTGATGATCGTGGAAAAGAGTTGGACAAAGTTAAAGAAACGACGTTGATCACAGCAACAAGACTGTCAAATTTACAAAGACAACTTTCCAAAAATAACAATATCCGGAAATGATTCATAATTTGCTGAGGATTAATTCAACCCAAAGTGATCAACATTCATCCATTTCATTTTATATGGAGCTCAAACAAGAATTTGCATGTCTCTACACTTGATAAATAGGGCTTTCAAAGGTTGACAAATGTCACCGCATAAAAATTATGAATGATAAATACAGTGAGATAATATGCCCATAAAATATGACTGAATCGCACTCAGTCACAAAAAAAAAACAACAAAAAATTGCATATTAATTTCCTTCAGATCAACTGACATAAACCGAAGATAATCATAATAAAATATCTTTTAGTTGAATTCGCATCAAAACATGAGCTTCTGACACGTTTTTCAGAATCACGAATCAGTTAATGACAAGAACACATTTCCCTTCATTCAACCACTTCTTCCACACAACAGGAATAGTATAAAACTTATTTTATTGCTTCTGAAATTCTAACCCGCAAACAATTTAATTACACTCGAACTTCGATAACTATAGAACCTTCCTGTGCCGAATTTTTGCATTTATTCTTGTCTGAAATCCTTTAAAATCAATGCGTTACAAACCTCCCTAACTCAAAAACCTCCATAACTAGTATTTTCTGGAGGTCTTTTGGCTATTTATTTTATTGAAATCGGAAAGATGAAAGCAATACAATTTTAACTATGTTTTTTGAAAGGAAGTCAAAGACTAATAGGGCAAATGAAACCCTCGCCACCAAGTTCAGCATCCTGTCAACTAATCCAGGAAGTAATTTGAGGTGCAGAATATCACCCATTTCAATCCTTGTCATTTTTCCTTTCTTTTCCCCCCAGCAAAAATGCTGGTTTTTGTAACTCAAAACCTCCTAACCTCGACTTTTTTTTGCTAAAAAAAGGAGTTGTTTGTCCTTTGATTTTTGATTGCAGTGCAGATAAAAATCCCAAGAAATTAGCGAGCTTCGTAGCTTTGCCAAATCAAAACCGAAAAAATAGACCCAAGCCTTTTTTTTAAACGTGTATTTTTCATTGGAAACACAAACCAAGAATGTGTAAAGGCCTGGTGTGGCATGCCGACACCAGCTGCGCCCTGGTGTCGCGCGTGGTGCGGGTACCCGTGCGCCAAGGGGTTGCCATAGTCCGCCATCGTCGGCATCCCTTGGTAGGTGAGCATCCCATACATCCTCACAGCGAAGTACCACAACCACAACTATCACTACCAGCACCACCACCACCACCACCAACACCACCACTAGGGTTGCTGCTGAACCCTGCACGTAGTCCGATCGAAACCCCTTTCTTCTCGGCCGAGAAAAAAAAGGGAATCTCACTTTCTGCGTTTTCCCCCGTTTTTTTCGGGGGGTTTCCACCACCAACACCGTCAACAACACCAGTTAGCACGACACATTTTTGCACGTCGACACTTCGATCTGACGACGATCGTCTCGCGGATGCGTCACTCCGCGTTTCCTCGCATCGCTTTCACGAAATAAATTCTAAAAGAATCGAAATCGTATAGTATTTTTTGTCAAGTCAGAAGACAGACGAGATTTTTAAACATCGGGTAGCAATTCAAAAAATAAATCAAATTTCAGGGAACAAACGGAGCTGCGAACTTTCAGTTTTAATCAAGTCTGATGCTCGGTCTATAAACAAGGAAACAATTTCGAAACTGCAATGATTGAAGTTCGTTTGATGAATTTTCAGTCTAACTGTGTATACAACATGGGGTCTAATAGAACAAACCGAATTTGTTCTGAAGAATGGTTCTTTGAGACTCATCTTGAGACTCATCTTGTTGTTCCAAATGTAGGCCGGGAAATAGAAAAAAATGGTACATTAATAGCTTTCTTATCGAGCCAGAGTTTCTTCAGAATTGTAATCACCTTTACTTTCACTCACTAAGAAAGAAGCAAACATTAGGACATCAATTAAATTAACTAAAAGGTAAAAAAAAGCACACCGTATTTCAGGCATTTCTAAAATGTTTTGAAATTCAACATTGCCTCTTTTAGTGCAGTCGTTATTCACAGCTTTGACTCGTTCATGAAATGCAGGCTTTTGGTATTGTATGGGGTATCTATTATATGAAACATCATTGAAAGTGATACTTCAACATCGAATGAAATCTTTTCAGAAATGCAGCAAAGAAACAAAAGTCCTCAAGGAGTCTAATGAGTTCAACGCTGATGCAACAAACATGCGATGCCCTTAGTCTCAAGCAAAGCGACTCTTCCACGAATATAAATCTTTGCTTTCATTCGAAAAGTGAGTTTAAAAAAAAATTTGTTCCGAAGCATTCAGGAGTAAGACACAATTAACAGTTTCTACACGGTGGTCTAGAAAAGTCGGTAGAAACACGCATTGAAACGTATTTCACAAATTGTAAAACATATAATCGTGCCGTTTTCAAAACGAGAAATGTATTTGTGATTCCATCATCTAATCAAAGAAGGCCTAGATAAACTTGAGCGTATAGAAAAATTAAATAATTTTGTAAAAACTTTCGCCATACGATTCCACAGATTCAAGGTTCATTTTCCACAGTCACACGATTTTTTGAAGTTTAGATTCCCTGAGTCAACCAATAATCGACGTCTGACGTGCTTACTATTGCTTTTTCACCCTTTCCAGAAAAAAGCATTCCGTTTCTGCTCATTATATGGATATACAATTATGGCACAAATCATCCCGTGATGCAGTAAGTTCAGATAGAAAGATCACAAATCAATTGTCGAAAGACGAGACGTTTTCCCGATAATAGTGAAGTGAAATTTTCGTGATGAGGTAAAATGCGAATGCTGTAAGAAAGCAGCTGATATTTCACGTGCAACTCTCTTTCAAAATGCAAATTATCGTCTCACCAATCTATACCTTGGCCTCTGGAGCCATGAAATCAAATTTAATTGAAAAGACAGTTTAATGAACTTCAACAAAAGAGGTTCAAAAATTACAGTCCTTACTGCAGACGAGATATATTTCATCCCTAGAATGAACGTCGTACACTAATTTCTGATCTCGGGTTATTACCACACGATAATCTTTCCAGGATCTGAAATTTTTGATTTGAATGATTTTACAAGTTTACTCTTCGAACTGAAGACCCATATCCGCATGAGTAAGAAAAACTACCTATTGAAACGATTTAAATAATATTTTTCAGGGTATGGCACATTCCGGATTTACTTTCCAGAAGAAGGTAAAAGTTCAAGGTTTGAAAGGATGGTCGAAATGTTCACACTTGATATGAATTAACGCACTAAAGTTAATTGAAGGACTGAAAAGGTATACTTATTGAATGAAATGCACTGTACATTAATGTACACACGATGAGCTCCAAATAAGATTAGTTTGAATAAGAAGGCATCTGTGACATAATATCGTAGATATTGTAAGTTGGTGCAGCCTTTACAAAAATATTGATTATAGACCACAACGAGCAAACACAATATCGGCAAACTAAACACGAGAACAGTGTATCAAATATAGGTTCTATTGAACACTGTCTATATGAGAGAAAAATAGTGCGGCATTCATTGGAGTAAAAAAGGCCCGCGATTTCTTTTAATACTGGGATTTTATCACAATATTTTTTCCAATAAAAAAAATCAATTCAAATAATCGCGCATCATCACACACAATCTGGAAAATAGGCCATATTCTGCATCAGCGAAGCCAATACACGAATTCAATATCTCGAATAAAGTACAGTACTGTACAGTACTTGATCACATAACAAAAAATTAATTTAAAAGAAAAGAATTGCGGCCTACGCTGGCCGAGAAAAAAAAACAGTACTGTATGCACTTTTCCCTCACAAAAAAAGCAAACCGAACGAACGGGACTTCACTGTAGTACGTGTCGACAGGAAGCAGCCGGGCCCCAACTGGCACAGCGAACCCAACAGCGGGTTCAGGTCGAGCTCCATATGGCGGGCCTGCTTCCCCCCTCCCTTTTCTTCCCATTTTCCAGAGAAACGATAGAAAAAAAAAACACACACACAACCCACTATACCCAGACCCGTCGTCGTCGACGCCGTCCTACGCCGACGACGTCGACGTCACCGTCGTCGTCGTCGTCGTCGACTTCTCCGTCGGAAAGGAGGCAGGACGAAATGGGGTGACTCCACCCATCCGATACCCGTCGGCCCAGTAGCAGGGTTTCGACGTCGACGCGTCAGCTGGGCGGGTTTTCTTTCTCGCAGCGTCGAACCCAAGAGGCCTCCTTGTATATATACACACACACACTCACCTATCTCCCTCTTCCTCTCCCAGTGTGTTTAAGCAAGCAACTTCCGGCCTCCCTTCCGGAAACTTAATTTCATTCAGACTAAACTCTCCCACCAAATTTCGAGATGAAAATAAAAATGAAAAAAGGGTGGATGGGGTGCTTGAAATTAATTCACTGCATGATTTTCCAGTTTAAAAAAAAAACGAAAATGAGGCCTATCGTATGCATGACATGAGCGCTATTTAATTTTTTTAAATAATTTTTCACGCAATTTTACGAAGTTTAGCTAATATAAGCTTGATGGCTCAACTGCTGAGTGCCAACTAAAAATTCCAAATTACATTTTAGGCCTGCCATTCAATGTAAATTGGAAAAGAGGGCTTCATGAATTTTCCAATGTTTCGGTGTGAGGTCAACGACAATTCATGGTCATTCAGAAAGTTTTTCCTCGAAAAAAAAGGTGGAGAGCGCGGGGTCACGAAAAGGAGTTTAGGTTCGTGAATTTTTTGTTTTTCAACTCGAACATGTATTGCTCAGTACCCGTCAAGAAAATTGTTTCAAAATTAAGCCCACGGGTTATTTTGAACATTTAATATGAATCAGTGATTTGTTCAAAACACGGTAATTGCATTTCCCGCGCAAGTAAGCAACATTTTCATGGAGAAAATTTGACTCGCAGAGGATCGACCGATTTATAGTACAGTAATGTGCATTTTGACTTTTCTGAAGTTTGGGATACAAAACATAGTCAAACATCGTTTTACATTTCAAAAAAACCTCTCTTTTTAAGATCAAACGAGAGGTTTTGTGAACTGATGATGAGAAATCAGTTGATAGTCGCATAAAAGATTTATTTGAAAATGTCAATTCGAACGACAAAAATAATGTAGAAAATTTTGTAAATATTGTGCGTAAATATTCCAAATTTCAGAAATACTTTTTCACAGAAAATTGCCAGGAAACGTCTGTTTTTTTCTACGTATATGTACATGTTCTATGCATATTTTCTGATAATAATTGGCAAAAGCTCAGAGCGAAACTATTATTGCGCAAATATTTCATCAACCTTTTCCTGCGGAAATTGCACGTGGAAAATGAGGAAAATATTGAAGTTTTTCTTACGAATAGAAATAAAAACCCGGGTTGAGAACGATCGCAAATTTAAATACCGGATTTGGCTCAGGAAGGAAGCAATCGCGCCGTAACAATTTCTCAGAATTTCGAATGTATATTTTGCAAGGAACACATTTTCCGTAGAAAAACGTAACGTTGAAACACATCTTCATGGAAATCAATTCCTCGTTGGCAGATTCATAATCTTTCAAATTTAGTATGTTTATGAACTTTAAATGAAGATTATATAAAAAAACAGATTCTCATAGCGTGAACTTTTCAGTAAAAGAAAAAAACCTGTCAAACACAAGCAATATATGCAGATAAAATAAATTGTCTCATCAGACGTGAGGAAACGCCCATTTTTCGCGCAGTAATTTTTCAGCCTCTTGACCCATTTTTTCGAACCAAGCAGAGCCTCGTCGGTTCATCGAAAATAAAAGAGGATCTTATGGTCGCGATGAAAAGACTAGTGATTCTTGAAAATTTCCGAGAAAAATGTCAGTTGAAAAAGAAGTGAGGGGGAAATCACATTCGCCCGGTTGCGTCGCAAGAACACAATGGATATGATGAGAAATCAGTTGATAGTCGCATAAAAGATTTATTTGAAAATGTCAATTCGAACGACAAAAATAATGTAGAAAATTTTGTAAATATTGTGCGTAAATATTCCAAATTTCAGAAATACTTTTTTACAGAAAATTGCCAGGAAACGTCTGTTTTTTTCTACGTATATGTACATGTTCTCTGCATATTTTCTGACAATAATTGGCAAAAGCTCAGAGCGAAACTATTATTGCGCAAATATTTCATCAGCCTTTTCCTGCTGAAATTGCACTT